TCCAGGATGTGACAGTTAATGTCGATGTCTGATCCACTGAGCTGATAGTGGTTTTGCTGTTGTCTAGGACCTATGTCCCTGTATCTTCTTGCTTGGTAGGGGTATGAACATTGACTGCTTCTCGTGTTGGAGTTGGTAGCATTGTGGTGTTGGCAATATTTATGTGGTTAGGTAAAACAGAGAATGTTTCCGAGTTCTGAGGGAGTTAACTTGGGAATCCTTTAAGATTGAAACCACATGAGTATGCTTTGGACAAAGTAGATAATGGCTGCTGTCAGAAGATATAAATGCTGCTGTAGGAGCACTTATTTTAGATATGAGTTGCCTAAAGTTGGTCTTTTACTTGATTGGAGGCAGCATTCATTGGGTTTAGGTAGTTCTTGACACTAAATGGACTTCACATTAGTGGTTTAGTACTGATGAGTTTACATTATGTGTTAGAAGGCATCCCAAGTTTCTTCATAATTATACTAATTTGGCTTACCAGAATTGTTGACAAGTAAAGCTTGAATATATAGGACATGGTTGATATTTTGATTCTATTTTAGTACATTGCATGGCAAAGGTTAACTGTTGCTGTCACTCACACACAGACGCATACAGTAGACCACAGCAGAGGAAATGGCCCAATGAACGACACAAGATTTGGGCTACAGCAAGCAGGATTTGAACTCTGGGAAAAAATGAAGAGGCAGACTAGGAGTGAGAAGTTTCTTCCAACTAATGATCTTTTGACCTGATTGCAGTTCAGATTATACATCCTATTAGCATCACTGTTTTTATATTTAAAAAAATTATATTAAAATTTTTATAATTCTAAAAGTAAAATAAATAATTTTATTTGTCCTAATGTCGTTAATTGTATTAACGAAAAAATATAATGCGTGACATCATGTGTTAGATTGGTATTAAAGTGATAGACAAAAAGATAATTTCAATGTTCCTTTTGTTTCCAACGACAGGGCTTAGTGAGTATATCGTTGATCTTGGAGAGGAGTTGGATGGAGTTAGACGATCGAAGATGACTTTCGTGGAGGAGGTGATGGTGAGGCCGACGAAGATGAAGGCTCCCATGAAGAGGGAGGGACCTAGAGTCTTGCCACTTGGTGTATCGAGAGCCACCACCATTAGGATGCTCAATGTCGTTGTCATCTATTTGTCGATATTGTGGCGTTTAGATTCCGATTGTGAGGAACGCAATGGCTCTGGATCTCCCCCTCTTCCTGGGAGCCTTCGTTCTTTACATTTTAACTCGCATGAGAAACCATCAGGCGCCAATCATACGATCGCATTCACACAATGCATCATCGTATGCGAGAGCGTTCACCACTTGCCTCAGGGGATTAGAGAGAGCGAGAAGCAAAAAGAGGGCAAGGGAACTAGAGCTTGAGAGGGGGATAAGGGAAAGGGAATAAGGTATCATCTCCTTCTTTCTTCCCTCTTTTGGGTTATGTGAGAATTGACTCAAAATTTGAGTCAGACTTGGGCTCAATCGACTAGACCAATTCCTTGTTGAACCCGTCCAACTTGTATGAGAAATTGTCATGTGCCTCTTGCCATAGTTGTGTTCCTCATCGTTGGTCTCGTGAAGGTTCTTCATCGTGATAGCTCTGGGTCTCCTCCTTTTTATGGGAGCATTTGTTTTCATTGGCCTCTTTGTCACTTCGTTAATGAAGGTAATTTTTGATCATCCAACCCCATCTATCTTCTCTTTAAGATCGATGATATACTTATCAAGTTGCTTATTGTTGAAAACGAAAGGGATGTTCAAATTATCCTTTTGCCCATCGATCTAACATGTGGTATCATGTGTTATATTCTTTGACGTCATTATAACAAATGAGTTTATTTATTTTTAAAATTATAAAAAATTTAATATAAAATTTTGAAGTGAAAAAAAATGATGTTAATAAGATTCAAGAGCAGAAATAATCTATAATTAGTCCGACTGGACAGCGTGGAGTTTCAAATAACCTGGTAGACATTTGGAGCCGCAAGGTTTGAAAGCCATGTGTGACACGAAGGTTGTGAATTTAAGGCAAGTGTTTTAATACATTAGAGGTACGATGATCCAAGCATTTTAATTATTAGAAGATTAGTTCCTGATAAGTTGGCTGTGCATAGGCCTCTCAGTTAATTTCCCACAACTTGCAGACGCACCAACCTCCCCCTTCCTTTCTGTCCCTCCAAAGGTACGCAAGTACACAAGTACCACAGCAATAGTACTCCAGCATGAGCACTGTTGGTTTGTCCAAGTTCTAAGTCGCAACATGATCAGGCTATACGATCCTTTCAGAACAGTTGACTGGATCGGCACGCAGAGGAATTTACTCGAGTATCCTTCACCCCTTTTATTATCCAACCATTGCTTTCCTATATCTACTGGAGTAGCTCTCTTTTACTGTTGGAAGCGGCAAGGATTCCTCTAATCTACCAGTTCAAGTTCAGCGTTTTATTAAACCTTGTTCTTTTTTCACTTAGGAAAAGGTCACTTTGTAAGGAACTACGATTGGAGACTCCACATGTTGTCAAGCAGGTATTGTTCTGCCTCTCTTTTTCATTCATAATGCTTACATCTTGAAGCGTTTAAATGCACCTGATCTGTTGTGTGTGATAACGAATGGGATTTTTCAGTTGATATCTTCTCGCAGTGACCACAGAATGAATGTATTCGAAGCTTTTTGACTCCATGATTTAGTCCAAAAACCTTGGTGCATGAAGGAAAGCAACAACTCTTCGAGCTTTGACTTCGTTCCAAAGAACACACATTTCTGTTCGAGGCAACTGGAACTCTGGCAAATAGGAGGAACATAATATGGCTCCTGGCAATTCCAGGCGAGAAGTCATATTACAAGACAACTCAGTGACTGTGGGTGGCTTTAGTGGCAGACAGCAGAGAAGTGGGGAAGGACATAACTTGCTTTCAAGAACTCCACTTTCGAGTTTCTTGGCGTGAGGTACGTATCGCACATGTAGAGCTGCCACCAGTACCTTTTCTTCTCAAACAAAGTGCAGTTTCCTTGTTGAGGTATAATGGATTTAGGCCACTTGACACTAGTTTTATGACACAACTAATCACTCGTTCCAATAGGTACAGTGCAAGCTGCACCGAGCGAGAAGGACACCGCGGCACAGGCTGAAGGGGCGTCGTTGATCGTCGTGTCAGAAGGGAGCATTAACACGTGAAATGGCCCCAAATACTGAGTTATTTAGGGCCCAATCAACCCATCTAATTACACGCCACTGTGAAGATCGTGCTGCATACCAAAATAAACTTCTGCATGGTATAGTGTGGCTCCAAAATACTTGGGTGGTCACTCGGGGGCCCCAATCCATATGCCATCCCCATTTAAATACATGCAACTGTGGTATTCCGATTTAAGCATGGCTTACCCCGGTCTCGTTCTTCCCTAGTTGATACCATCCCGCATGTGATGGTCCCAAGAGGATCATGTCGACCTATTGCTTGTTGTTTTGATGATGCACTGCAGATGCACATGCATATTATGAGGAGAGGAGAGAATCCTCATGAAGTTATATTTCTTGGTTAATCCTTATACTGGCAGGAGATGGATCCTTCTGTTTCATGTTAGCTTTGCCGTAGAAAAGAAAGGACCATGTTGATACCGAGGATATCTTTTGCCAATCAGAGGCGAAGAACATGAAGTGCTATGCTCTCTGCAACTCGAGGTGATTCTGATTCCGAGGACTTCGATGCTATTCCTCCGATAAATTCCTAGTATTGATGTCTGACTTGGTGACAGTTCCAAGGTATACTTTAGTTTAAGCAAAGTTGGAGTATTCTTTCCTCAAGTATTATTACTCAGGACTGTAGAGCCCTATAATTTAACCAATCAGTTCAGCCACGAAAGATGGCGCTTTGCTCGTGCTCTTCCTTAAGAATGCATGTAGCAGCTCCAAGGATGCACGCGTCAGGCGAATAGCTTCTGGTCCATCCATTGCCTTCTATTTCGAGTAGGTTCCCATTGTTTTTGTTTCAGCTTTCCATTTAGTCTTACCGATTGTTTCCTTCCTTCTACTTTTAGCTTGTTGCTTATTACCGGACATGTCTAACACTCACGAGCCTCCTCCTAATGGAATCATGGGAACGTGGGATGGTATTTGCTTTAATGGGCGACTGCATGCTTCGGGAGACCTTCACTCGGTTTTGTTTCTCATGGCTTTAGTAACTTGTGGGTTTTTGCTCTTCTGATTGATGTTTCTAGGAGAAATCTTCCCAAGGCTGTGCTTTTGGTGGAATGGAGACTCCACCCATGGAGTCCCATGATTAACTTGCCTTTTTTAGCTCCATGTCTTCGTCTGGCATTTAGTAATGACAACATTGTGGAACATGAACTCTATCCTCTTGTTCGACCAATCCCATCAAGAAATATATGTTATGCGATGGACGGAGCTGTCTCCTTTTTGCTCACAAAACATACTTTGGTTTCAACTCCATATCTGCTTCCTGAACAGGTTCAAGTGGTCCAAGATGGAGAGAGCTAGAAGAGGAGTGAAGTTTGAGAGTGTCTCCTTCTCGAGACATCTTTCACTTCCCTACTTCACGGTATTCGCTTGAATAACTTGTTTTCTGTAATCCCTACCTCATGTAATAGTTCTGCTTGGTTTCTAAATCTATTTCAGAATGATAAATTAGTGGCATTCGAGGAACGAGGAGCGATCGAGGCGTGCAAGGAGAAGTCACAGCTGTCGACGTTTTATTGCCCAGTGGAGGTCCCCAAAAGTCCTGTTGAAGCTATGGATTTCCTCTCTAGAACTTGGAGCCCTTCTTCCTCTGATTTCTTTCAAATGCTTTCGTCAAATGTAAGTATTCAAAGGAAGTAGTAGTTCTAATCGATGTCCATCCATTATATATTCTCAAGAATAGGTTTCTTTATTACTCACTAGAAGCTTATAATATTCGTCGTCTATTATACTTCCATCTCGAGTGATGTGAAGATGTCTAATTGGGAAGCTCGGTAACCAATCATCCTTCTTCTGAGTGTTCATGGAAGCTGATATCTTATGGCTATCACGTTCAACCATGAATAAGCCCTTCACAGTTATCACATAGTGCATCAACGTTAAAATAATTCTCGACATTCCTATTGATTAGTGGCTACCACGGACGGGCGGTTTGAACCCTTCTTGATGCAGGGCAGGGAGCATGACCAAGAGCTAGAGGAGAAGCAAACAGAGGAGAGCGATGTCCATTTCGATGAGGATGACAAACTCAGATTGGAGCAAGTACTGGTAAGAACATCTCCCACCCTTTGTCTAAACAAAGATAATCTTCTGACACAGGCGAGTTAGCTTACTGTCCTTCCCTGCTAATGATCATTTCAGACACTGCTTTCGACTGGAAATCTGGTGCAATCAGCTGTAGGAAAGCACAAGCAACTCCACACCAGCTGGGTAAATGCTGAAGACAGAAAACATTAAAAATATATATATATAATGTTTCATAATAGTATGATTTCTTTGAAATGCACAGATGAAGGTAGGAGAGATTAAGGCATGGTTGGGCGGGGAACTTTTCAGCAGCTTGTCCAGAGGATGCAGAAAGAGGAGAAAGGAGAGACTGCGACTCCATGTGGCTCAAGTGCACGCTGCACTCTCCGTTACAAGGTTGGCTGCGGCCATCTCAGGCATCATGGCCAGTTCTAGGGTGGAACCAAGAGATTCCAAGGGAATGAGCATGATGAATGTGGGAGGGAAGTCGGACGAGAAGATAAGCGCCGTGCTTGCTTCAGCTGCAGCTTTGGTCGCTACTGTGTGCGCTGAAGCAGCTGAGTCTGCAGGGGCGCACAGAGAGTGCGTTGCTTCTGCCATTACTACAGGCTTAGCAACGAAGACTTCTGCCGATATGGCGACGCTCACTGCAACTGCTGCGACATGTAATGCTGCACCGTTTACAACTTCACAGATACTTGATCTCGTACTTCATAGACAGAACATCTCAGAGATAACGTGCCGTGAATTCACATAATCGAACATATGAACTGATATGACATTATTATTGTAGGTTTAAGAGGAGCCGCCACACTTGAGCGGAGAGCAGCCGCTGGTAGGCATGTATCACAGGACCAGAATATCCTTGCAAGAGGTGCTCAACTTCCAGTCCGCATGCCCGAAGGTAAGAATCCGTGGCTCGATTTTTTTTATGAACTCTAATAATCTATGTAGAGTGCTCTCGTTTGTGATTGGATGATCATGAATGGAAATTTGACTTGTGCTAATTTGGGTTTCTGCAGGGAGGGTTCATCTAAGATTGGTGTACATTTTCCTCAAGCATTATAGACTTACAGTGAGATTAACAAAGAAATACATGCGCGGAGTGATCAGCACATGCAAAGAGTGTAAGCATGTTAGGGTTTCGTCTTCTTGCTGCTTGTTTCATCTGTAAATTGATGGCCATGCATTTCGTATCAAAATCCATTGATCAGTACAGTAGTCTTAGATGTCAGCTACTGCAGTAATATCATCTGTACATTCTGATATATTCTTTTTCAGATAGGATATTTCATGCAATGGAAGATCTAAAAGGAGGCTTCTCTAAGGATGCCCATGGATTCTACCTGATAACCCTTGGCACCACCGGGGGAGCCATCCAGGTCATGTTTGAGGATCAAATGCAATATAGGATTTGGAGGTCCACCATCTGCCACCTCTTGTGTGATTGTTAGAAGAAGCTTTCAAGTTTCAATCTTCCATTGGGTACTACTACTCTCTCTTCCATGTTAAAAGGTGTTCAACAATAAAATTCTTTCTATCCTTTCCTATTTGTTTCTTCTGATCTGGAGGCATCTCGCTGGGTGTAATCTAACATTTGATTGCGCGAGCTCACTTGCTCACGAAAGTATTCATTCTTTCCACTTAGGAGTTTGACATCCTCGACTCTAGTATCGTGCATGTGCATAATGATGTCCAATCACGAGACATCGGTAATCTTCCAAACACTATAAGGGCCATTCTCTCTCCCTAACTCCTAGGTCACCAGATCAAGCCCATCTATTCTCAGCCCAAGACTTTGGGGCGGAGGATACCGACATCACGGTCTATCGTTATCCAAGTCTTAACCTCCGTCGTGTCCCGAAATCGAAAGCGCCTCCCCGTCGTGGTCGTAACGCGTATTTGAAAACATTTGAAAGGAAGGAAGACCCACTCGGTGGGACCGCGATAACAGAATCGACAACGCCGTTAACCTGCCCATCGCATGGCGCACAGAATACCCAAAAAGCCCTTCGATAGCGCGACTGCAGGCAAATCCCCAGGGGTATAAATGGGAAACAAACAAATAGCTTAGCTGCCGGTGGGAGCCAACCACCGGCTTCAATAGAATCTCCTCTCTCTCTCTCTCGCCAACACACTTTCCGCCGATGTCATACTTCTCTTTCCCTCCGCTCTCTCGAAATTTGGAGTCAGGGTTTCGGAGATGACGACGATGGAGAGCTTGATCGGTCTGGTGAACCGCATTCAGAGGGCGTGCACGGTGCTGGGCGACCACGGAGGCGCCGACGGCACGCTGCCGACGCTCTGGGAAGCGCTCCCCTCCGTTGCCGTCGTCGGCGGACAGGTACTTAACACTCCGACCTCGCTGCCGTCGCGTCGTTTATTCGTTCAGCCTCTTAGCCCGTTTGTTCGATGCGTTTCTTGGTGGGCAGAGTTCGGGGAAATCGTCGGTATTGGAGAGCATCGTTGGGCGTGATTTTCTGCCCCGTGGTTCTGGTTAGGGTTCGGCGATCTTGATTGGTTTTGTACCGTTCTTCTACTTCGGTTATCCATGTGAATTTTCAATGGCTGATTTGGTGGTTAAATCAGTGGTTTCTTCTTCTCCCTTCTTGCTTTTTCAAGGTATCGTGACGAGGAGGCCCTTGGTGCTGCAGCTTCACAAGACAGAGGAAGGCCGTCCAGAATACGCCGAGTTCCTTCACTTGCCAAACAGGAGATTCACTGATTTCTGTGTGTGATTCTCTTTCATCCACTTTGCGGATGCAATGATTTCTTTCATTTTTCTTGACTAATTGCTTTTGTGTTGGTTGATTCTTACAAATATGTGGAATGTTTTTCACAATCTTGGCTAAGACTATATATAGCAAACCGATTGGAGAATTTTTAAACTTGAATGAGAACTTGTTACTTGTATATACAATATAATTCTTGTGAAGTTTTAGCTACTTCCAATCTACTATATTACTGTTTATGTTATGTTGAATCACATTTGCATCAATATGCTGCAGTTATGTTCTGTTTAAGTTGGTATAAGACGGTTGGATCTTTGTAGTTACAAAGGAGGACATTTTATTGATTTATGAGTATATTAGTATCTTTCTTAAGCAACCATTCTTTCATAGTTTTGCACTAGAAGTGTCTTCTCTTTCTCTATGTATACATATATATTTTTATGAAAAGGCTAAAATAAATGTTTGCTCAAGCCTCAAAGTAGTATTCCGAATTTCTGAATCTAATTCTCAAGTCTGACGGTTGGTCTTCATCCAACTGGATCCTGTTGAGGTGCAAATAATAGTTATGACCTTGAATTTTACCTAGGTAGGAGTAACTTTAAAGTAGGGTTTTATGCTCATTGGATATCTATACTTTGAGCTCATGTAACTAATATGTGTTGTCCATGTGGCGATGAATGTACTTGATGGATCTTCTGTGTAAGATGTAGCCTCTTGTTTGGATGATTATCCATGTGATCTTTATTTTTTATTGAGTCAGATTTAATTAGGAGCCCAAGAAAATATTTTGAGATTCCTTGTTTTCCATGAGATTGATAAATTTGTTCATGGTTATTGTGTAAATATTGGGAATTTATATATGAAAATTGTCATTTTAGGGATATATATGTACATGTATATGTATATATATATGTATATGTATATGTATATGTATATGTATACATATACATATATACATATACATATATATATATATATATGTATACATATACATATATGTATATGTATACATATATGTATATGTATATTTATATATGTATACATATACATATATATATATGTATATATATATGTATATGTATATATATATATGTATACATATACATATATATATATATATACATACATATATGTATGTATATATATATATACATACATATGTAT